TTCAGTACCAGAAGTTGCAGATCGTGTCCAACGAAGAGTGCGAAAAGATTTACAACCAATTGCCGCAGGACTACGACTTCCCGCCCGTCACCGCACGCATGCTGTGCGCCCGACACGCCCAGGGCTCGACCGGTTGCTACGTAAGTGTTATGATTACGATCAATTAGTCAGGATTCATTTATTTTTAATTAGTATAGCATTCTAAGAATAATGGCACTTAGATAGTAATATAATAAATTAGTTTACAATAGTAATAAAATAAGTTGCAATAGGTTACGATAGTGAACAAAAACTGTAATATATCTTTAAAAACATCATAATTACTTATGGTTAATTAAGATATTCATATAATGGGATAACCCTAGCCCACACTTTTTTTTTAAATTAATTGGTCAACGTTAATCATAATTTTTATTATACCAGGGTGACTCTGGAGGACCATTGTTATCTGGCACACCCGCTAAATTGGTCGGTGTTGTGTCGTGGGGTACACCCAACTGCCCGATCACCACACCCAACAAAAACCCCAATGTTTACGCTAATGTAGCCAATTTGAAAGCGTGGTTGGACACTAAATTGGTTTAAACTGTTCTGGTTGAATAAACATAATTGCTTTCTATGGTAACGGTTGTTTGATTAAACTATTATAAATTAACTTATTAATATTTTTGTTATATTGTATTGTTATGAATAAGTTGAATCAATTTAATTCCTAAACTACACATTGATTATTCTGATCATAATAAACAAATATTTTTAGCATCGCAAATTTGTTTCATTTTATTTTTTATATTGATAAGTTATCAATGATAACATTTGAAGAATTAAATTGTTCATTTATGCAAAAATTAGTAGTTAGAAAATCCAATAACTAATTTGTAGACTGTTAAACTAATATATTATAAATAATATTAGTGTTTGAATTACAGTTTGCATAAGAAACTTAAAATTAGTTAAAATTAAACTTTTAGTTGTAATCTATAGTTATTAAAAAATTTCATATTCACATTGATGAGCTTGGGTTTTAATACTATTATATTCTGAATCAATTATAACCTTACAGATGTTTTAAAAGTTTAAATTTCAATATAATTTATAATTTTATCATATTTGAGCTACAATACGTTATATTAATATTAAATATATTTATATAAATCTTAACATTAGTTATATAGAACTTTGGTCATATTTTACACAACTACCACTTGACTAAAATGTTTTAAAAATTAATAAACAAGTATTCGTTTTATGCCAAAAATTAATTAAATTACAAATCTTTTGTAATAAATATGTTAATAATTCACTCAATACAAGAAATAAAATACAGTTATTTCAACTGATAAAATCAATTAGTAAAATTGTATGTAAATAGTCTATAATAAAAATAATTTTCATATTATATATTTTATTATCTAAATAGATATCTAAATACATAACACATATTTACAAACATTAAAAATTAATTAGTAAATGCAAATGAAATGTGTATGTAATAAATACATCACTAATAGTTTTGCAACTAATGAATAGTAATAAATTAAAGTTATTGAAAATGGCGTACGATCTTGATTCAAAATTTATGTCCATTTGTAACCTAGTTCTATTCACAAGCAGATTTTGCTGGCTATTATTTGGTGGGATAGGAATTGCAGCTAATGGCCAGATATATGTCAGTAAGCAATGGAAATACCTTGGTTATTCTGTCGTCTGTCTCGCTTTCTTTGGGCAAATTGCGATATTTTTTTACACTTGGTCGATAAACGAGGATGGTAAACTGTTTGGCGAATTACCCTTATTTGTTTGGGTATTACAAGGTTGCTTAAACATAATACACCGTACAATGCGCCTGTATATTATATACTACTTAAATCTCTACGGATACGATTTAATTGCCATTTTTATCGGCAATCTTGGCAAAAGTCTCATTAAATTACCTAGATTAAATGCTAAAATTGTTTGCCTAATTATCATTTGGTATGCTCAGCTGATGGCGGCACCGATTATTACTTATTTTATACTTGCTCAACTCAATCGTGTTGTATTTTATCTGACTGTATTAGAAACTAATTGTCTTTTTATTTCGCTCTGGGTCATACCATTTATGACATGCATTATGTCTATATATTGTAGTCTACTTTTGAACGTCATTATCAATCGTATTAACAGTTTGAAAGGTAATTTTTACAAATATTACAATACAGATCAAAAGCTTAATTAGACTGTTTTACAAATTATATTTATATATAAAATAATATTTTTGGAAATAAGATCTTATAATATCATTAAAATATATTCCTATATAATTTAAGGTTAAAAAACCTTTAAAATAACTACTTAATTTTTATCACAATTATAATTATATTTATCTTCAAAATTATTGTAGGAATTAATCAAAACATAATATTTTTATTTTATAATTAAAACATTAAAAAAACATAAAAATCCATTAATTTATTAAGGTAAACGAGTAGCAAATGCGGAAACAATACTCATTGAATGCAAACATTTGTTACTTAAAATTGTGAACACAATCGAGGAGTTGGACCAAAGGTTATATTACTACCAAATAATTAATGCCATCGCAACTGTATTGACAGTAATGGTCGCCATATTTACAATCTCAAGATCAGGTGACTATGATATTAAGGGCGGTTTGTATGAGTCCATGTTGTTTGCGAGCGTCTCCTATCCCATACAGTTTATCGCCGCATGTTTTATATGCGGTTCAGTTGGCGATCGCATGGCTAGAGTGGCCAAAGTGTTGGATGGCATAAATGCTGATGAGTTGCCAGATATGGCTTATAAAGAATGGTTAATGTTTACAACTGTGATGCAAACTATTGGTACATCTGGTTTCACTATTGGTGGTTACGCTACTTTCAACAAACGTACACTTATTGTTGTAAGATCTACTACATTTATAAAATATTGTTTTATTTATATACATAAATATTCTTAATTTAGATTTTTACATTTATTTTAAACTACACGGTAATACTACTCCAAACACGATAATATGGCTAAATTAAGAAATTGTTCAAAATAATCGATGAATAAAATTTCATTTTAGTTAAAGTTTTAATTATAATTAATAAAGACAAAATTGGATAATTGAAAGTAAACCCTCTAACATTATTTTAACCAAATTATTTGTAATTATTAATTTATTAATAAATATTGTTATAATTTTATTATATTATTATAAATTTTAAAATAAAATTTTTAATGCAAACAATTCTACATATTTTACATATGAAAACCACAATATTAATAAAAATGGAAAATAAAAATTTATTAAAAATTAAACAATAATTACATTGTATTGTTATAAATAAAATGAATCAATTTATTTTCTAAACTACACATTCATTATTCTGATCATAATAAACAAATATTTTTATAATTGCAAATTTTGTTTCATTTTATTTTTATATTGATAACGTCATGAGAATTATATGTTTTACGTATACGAAAATCAGCGTTTGAATCTGTCCCAATTACTATGTTTTATATTGCTAAACTAATTAATTATAAAGAATATTTGTGTTTCAATTACAGTTTGCATCATATATTGCATCAATACTTAATTTTAATGAATATCTATAATATATTTGGAATAAATAAGTTAATAATTTTCTACATACAAATAATAAGATAGTTATTTTTAACGAGAAAATAAGTAAGTAAAATTGTAAGTAAATAATCTAGAATATAAACTTGATTTATATAAATAATTTAATATCTATGCAAAGTACATATCACATATTTACAAACATGAAAATAATTAGTAAATGCAAATAAAGCCAAATGAAATGTGTATAAAATAAGTACATTATTAATATTTTCTACTAATAATAAATACTACTTTTAAATACGTAAAAATACGGCTACTAATAAATATTAATAAATTAAAGTGCTTGCAAATGGCATACAATCTTGATTCAAAATTTCTGTACATTTGTAAGCTAGTCCTATTCACAAACCGATTTAACTGGCTAACATTTGGTGGGATAGGAATTGCAGCTAATGGCCAGATATATGTCAATAAGTTATGGAAATACTTTGGCTATTTTGCCGTTTCTTTTGGCATCATTGTGCAAATCTCGATATTTTTTTACACCTGGTCTTTAAACGAGGATGGTAAACTGTTTGGCGAATTACCCTTATTTGTTTGGGTACTACAAGGTTGCTTAAATTCTATACATCGTACATCGCGTATATATATTATATACTATTTAAATATCAACGGATATGATTTAATTGCCATTTTTATTGGCAACCTTGGCAAAAATCTCACAAAATTACCCAGATTAAATGCTAAAATTATTTGTCTTATTATCATTTGGCATGCTCAGCTAATTGCGGCAGCAATTATTACTTGGTTGATACTGGCTAAACTCAATCGTGTCATATTTTATTTGACAGTATTAGAAACCAATTTGCTGTTTATTAATCTCTGGGCCATACCATTCATGCTATGCATTATGTCTATATATTGTTGTCTACTTTTGGATGTCATTATTAATCGTATTAACTGTTTGAAAGGTAATTTATTCAAAAATTATTACAATATATATTATCAATCTTAATTGCAAATGTTTTATTATTTATAATCGTAAATAAAATAATATTTTTTGAGATAGCTTACAGATATAAATATTTTAAACGTACTTCTATATATTTTGATATAATTTAAAGCTAAGAAAACATGCTAAACGATCAGTTAAATTTTATAACAATTATAATTCTAGTTTACTACAAAAATTACAGCTAAAGTTCATCAAAACACTACATAACATGACATTGTACAATTAAAAGATTATAAAAACAATTCATTATTTTTAAGGCAAACGAGTGGCAAATGCAGAAACAATACTCATTGAATGCAAACATTTGTTGCTTAAAATTGTGACCACAATCGAGGAGTTGGATCGACGGCTATATTACTACCAAATAATTAATGCGATCGCAACTGTATTGACAGTAATGGTCGCCATATTTACAATCTCAAGATCAGGTGATTATGATATTAAGGGCGGTTTGTATGAGTCCATGTTGTTTGCCAGCGTCTCCTATCCCATACAGTTTATCGCCGCATGTTTTATATGCGGTTCAGTTGGCGATCGCATGGCTAGAGTGGCCAAAGTGTTGGATGGTATAAATGCCGATGAGTTGCCGGATATGGCTTATAAAGAATGGTTAATGTTTACAACTGTAATGCAAACTATTGGCACATCTGGTTTCACTATTAGTGGTTACGCTACTTTCAACAAACGTACACTTATTGTTGTAAGATATACTACATTTATATTAAAATTTACATATTTATATTAATTTTATTATATTTAGATTTTTACATTTATTCTAAACTACACGGTCATATTACTCCAAACACGATAATAAAATTATGTCTAATTTTTCATTCAAGATAGTGTTCAACAAATCTATTAACAAATTTATGTTTTAGTAAAAATCTTAGGTTTAATGGCAAGTGAATATTTAAACAGTATTGTAGGAACATTATTTGTATTTTTTAAAAAGTATTATACTAATTTCACAGCATGATAAAATTATTATTAAAATCACGTAATAAACTTGTAATGTTGTCAATTGTTCACATTTTATGTCCACGAGTTTGAAATAAAATAACCGCATAATTCAATATGAATACAAATATCTGTAAAGAAATAAAATCAACTATAATCATTTTTATGAATAACATAATTTAAATAAATTAACCGCAATTAATGTTGACTTATTAAGTGTGGCAAAGCCTCCAATAGTGAACCCAAACGTACGCGTATTTCGTACGACATTTGCAAACATAAGCCACTCGTGATATTCAGTGCTCGACAACTGATCTGTATTTATGTCATCTAAAATCGTCACAATATTTAGACATTTACCCCAAACTCGTCCGCATATAATACACGATGCA